GAGTTCCCGGAACAAAATCAATGTAAAAGTCAATATCTTTGTCAGGTGGCATATACGCCAAATCTGCAAGAAACACCTCTAGGAACTCCACCAACACTAAATCCACAGAAGAAACCTTTGTGCTAGAATTACATATGTAAGACAAATACGTTAAACATCCCTTCTCAACCATACATTGAGCCTTCAAATATGAAAACACCCTGCTAGCGGAATGACCAAGTGTCCCTCTCTACTCTAATTTAGGCAATCCAGGCATGGCTAAAGTCATAATCTTGGCATGACAATCCAAGATAGCATGATATGGGAAAAACCAATCCATACCAAGAATGACCTCAAAGTCCACTGTATCCAACAACAAAATATCAACTATAGTATCAAAATCATTCATAGTAACAACACAAGACCGTTACACCCAATCAACTACTATAGAATCTCCGATCGGTATAGACACGGAAACAGAAACATCAAGAGAATCACGAGGCATGCTCAAGTGCAAAGCAAAATATGAAGACACATCAGAATATGTAGAACCCGAACAAAACAACACATAGCATCTCTATGACAGACTGAGATAATACCTGTAATAACTAAATAGGACGACTCTGCCTCCGGCCTACCCAAAATTGTATAACAACGAGGTTGAGCCCACCAACTTATCCTCCACCTCTAGGACGACCTCTCACTGAGTGGCCTCCACCTCTAAATGGCTAGCCTCTACCTCTGGCTACCTGACCCTCGCCTTTACCTGGCTAGGCGGGGGGTGAAGAAATTGGTGCCAAAATTATGGCACGAGTACCCTGTTGTGGCATGCTACTCTATGACCTAGGGAAAAACCTCACGATGTGCCTCATCTCCACACACATAACAAGACCTATGCTGGCGTGGCTGCTAAATGTCGAGTTGTCCTTGACGACCCAAATAACCACTATGGTAACTTTGTATTGGAGGTGCACTTACGAGAGCTGGAGGTGCACGATATGCTAGCTACTCGGAACGAGGTCCATAAACACTATGGCTGCCTGATGTACCATGTGTGACCTGTAGTGTTGACCGTACCTACCTGATAGGATGGCCTCTACCAAAGGTACCCTTGCCTCCAAACGAGGCACCACTAAATCCTCCAAAATAATGGGGCATCTTATCATAGTTCGTCTCTCTCGCTTGGCCTCTAAAGTGCTCAATCCTCCAAGTGATCTCCACTACCTGAGTAAAGGAAGTCTAAGTCTTGGCCTCTCTGTCCGTCTAAGGTCTGATGTCACATGTAAGACCCTCTATGAACCTCTACACCTTTTCCCTCTTAGTAGTGATCTGGATAGCTACATGTCGAGACAAATCAACAAATCAAGTCTCATACTGAGTAACATTCATGCTACCCTGCTGAAGGCACTCGAACAGGTTGCGAAAATCATCTCTTTGAGTGAGGGGAATAAAGATCTCCAAAAATAACTGTGAGAACTAAGCCCATGTGACATGAGGTGATCCCGCTAGCCTGCCCAGCTCGTAAACCTGTCACCACCTCTTGGATGACCCATGCATCTGAAAGACGGTGAAATCCACTCCAATGGAGTCAACTAGTCCCAAGTTGCGTAAAATATCATGGCAATGGTCCAAAACGTCCTGGGCATCCTCTGAAGTGCACCGCTAAAGTGAGGGGGAAACAACTTGGTGATCTTGTCCAGCCTCTTCAGCTCATCAGCTGACATCACGGGCTTGTCCCCGGACTATGTAGCAACCATAGACCAAACCAACCCAACTAGTAGAACTCCTGGGATCTGATAACCATGGGACATCTACTCTGGGGTATGAGTAACGGGAGTCTAAACTCCTTCCCCAGCCTGAGAAGTGGCTAGTGCCTCAAGAAACACACCGGCCTGAGCCATATTCTCTATGAAGCCAACCATGTGGACCAAGACATCCTAAAGTACTGGGGTAGCAATGAACCCCTCTAGGACCTGAGTCGATCCTAATGGCTCGAGCTGAACTAATATCTCGCCTCCTAAGCTATATGAGGCTCGACTACGGGTGTCGATGCGCGTGCTATAGGCTTAGCTCCGCCTCTACCATTGCCCCGACCCCTGGCCCTGGTAGTGGTTGCAATCTAGGGAACCGGCTCCTGATCATCTATGAACAAAGCATGTATCTTTACGATTTGTGAGAGAATAAGAGAAGAAAGATTCAAACTTTATGATAGAACAAAGTTGCAAGATGGACAAAGAAAGAAAGTGAAGTTTCCTAAAGCCTTATAGCCTCTAGAAGATTCATCTCTGTATCGATCCTCAAGACTTTAGTAAGCTTGCTCATGACTTGTGAGACCTATGTAACCTAGTATTCTAATACCAATTTGTCACGACCCAAAATCCCAACTCACAGGGTCGTGATGGTGCCTAACACTGCTTGCTAGGCAAGCCAACACATAAAGATAAGTACGAAAGAAAAGAAACTAACAGTAATAGCACAATGATATAGTAGAGCAAAAATAACTCAGAAGTATACTTACTAAGTCTAAAGAACACTGATGATCAACCATCCCAAGATGTGGAGTCACTAGTACATAAGCTACTAGAGTTTACTAAATACATTATCTACAAAGAAGTACAATATTGTCGGGTAAAAAGGAAACAGTACATAAGAAATAGAAAGATGACTCTAAGTCATGCGAACGGTTTGCATCTCTACCTTGAGTCGCCTATCTAGTGTCTGCTAAGCACATCTTGGGACTCCTCTAGTACCAATATCTGAATCTGCACAAGGAGTGCAGAAGTATAGTATGAGTACAACCGACCCAATATATTGCGTAACTGTCAATCCTAATCCAACGAGGTAGTGATGAGGCTAAGACAAGACACCTATATATAAATCTATGCAGTTAAGCAACGAGAAATAATGAGGTGATAGGTAAAATATCAAGTAAGATGACAAGATAATAACATGTGAGAGAATTAAAAAGTATTTTAGTAAAGAAATATAGAATGAGAAAATAAAGGAAGGTACTACTAAAGTAAAACACAACTTACGCTTCTATAAACAATTCCAAACAAACCTTTCAAAGAAAGTTACGAAGCAACATAGACAAATCCTCAATTTGTATCGTAAAACAAGAACAAACCATACCAACAATTAGCGCAGTTACGCCCTTCGTGTTTTTACGCTTATCCTCGCAAACACAATATAATAGCTAGCATGTAAACATCCTTTGTGAATATCCTCTCTTTCTCTCAAGCACGATAACACCCTTTGTGCAATGAAATTGACATATGAAGAAACGAGGGAAACACCCTTCGTGCACAAGCCATCTTCTTCACAAACACGAAAATACCCTTCGTGGAATTCACTCTTCCTCACCAAGCATCACATATAACACAATACTAAGCAAGGTAGGAAGCATAAACAACATTAAGAAAAGTAATTAAAAATAACTCGCCATATGAGAATTTACCAACACTTTTGCACTAATAGCCAAATCAATAATTCAATAATCTGAACGCTCTATTTCTAAATAAGCTCAACATAGATAATAGCATGGATAAGACAAGTCAAAGAGTTTCACAATATATTTAGTGCATGGAAGACATAATACATAAAGTAACATGGTACAAATAAATCTAACTCTGCCCGCATATTTATTCCATGGCAAAACGCATATAGAATCGTATCACATTGCATCTACGCCGCCCCCAACACATAGATCACATAATAAATAGACCCAATTACACCCTAATTCCCTCAAATCAAGGCTAACCATGACACTTAACTCTTTCCGCAATAAGAGCAACAACCCAACACGACTTTCCTTTTAGAACAAGCCTCTAAACCACCCGAATCTAGTCAAATATTACTCAAATAAGTCAAAAAAAGCTTTAGAAACTACATGAGTATCAAAAAGGTTCGATCTTTAACCTATTTGGAAAAGTCAACAAAAAGTCAACCCGAGCCTATGTGGTCGAATTATGAAATTAAGACCAAATTCCGATTACCCATTTATCCCTAAGTCCAAATATGTGATTTATTTTTAGATCCGACCTCAAATCAAGGTCTAAATCTCAAAATACAAAATCCTAAATTTTGACCCAAGAACCTTATTTCTACTCTATAAAATCTTAGGTTTAATAGTAAAAATCCATAGAAAAGTGATGAAAATTGAACAAAAGCAAGTTAAAGCTGACAACCTATGAACTTGGGAAGAAATTGCTCTCTAAAATTGCCTCTATATGGAGACTAGGTCTCAAAGAGGAATAAAATGAGCTAAGTTCTGAAATCCCAATCTTTTACCCAACTGCAGGTATCGCAATTACGGTGTTCGTAAAAATAAACAACTGGTCACACAATCAAACAGTCCATGAGCCCCCTCATATTGCAAATGTGATAAAGCCTTCGAAATTGCAAAGGACCCACCCCTCGCAAAAGCGAACAAAGCTTCGCAAAATGCCCATCTACTCTCATGTGTCGCAAATGCGACCAATGTGCTTGCAAATATGAAGGACCACCCTTCGTAAAATTGGTCATAACTTTGCAATTGCGAACATTCCCAGCTAGGGGTGGGCGTCGCTCGGTTCGGTCGGTTATTATGAAAGTACGGTTCAGTTTATCGGTTTTTGATTTTGTAATATTAATAACCAAATCAAATCAAAGTATTTACGGTTCGGTGCAGTTTTTTCAAAGTTCGGTTCGGTTATTTTCGATTTATTTTTTCGGTTTTAAATGGTTGTAGGAACAACAAGTACTTACGGTTTGTAGGAACATCAATAAATACGGCTGGATTTTATTTGTTGTTCATCCATCCCAGCAAATTGTCATTTTGACTTTTGAGAAAGACAGCCCAGCAAATTGTCATTTAGTTGATGTTCGTCCAGCCCAGCAACAGAGAAAGACAGTGGCAAACGGCAGTCTAACACAAGTTTTGCTGACAATAACACTCTAATTTGAAACTACACTATAAATGAAACTAAGAATAGACTATAGAGAACAAGCACACAGAGAACAGAGAGGCCTTCAGTGCAAACAGAACACCTAAGTAGCAAAACACCGTACAGTTCAACAGTGGCAAACTAGTCCAAAACAATTTAACACAGTGGAAAATCTAGCAGCTACCAAAGTCCAAAATAAGTCTAGAAATACCATCACCAAATAACAAAACAATGGCAAACTAGTCACAACCCACAAGCCACAAAGTAAGTCTAGCAAATGATACTTAAAGTCTTAAATACAAATCACTGGATGAGGCATGAGACACTTCTTAATATGCTTCACTAAGCCATAAGTGCCATAATACTTTGGATGACAATTATAAACTCGACCACAATGAAGACACTTTGCTTTGCGGGCTTCTTCATTTACTTTAACTAGCTCAAAATATTTCCAAATAGGCGATCTAGCTTTAGGACCACGAGGCATAGTTGAACCTACCAAAAAAANGTTCACAAGTTAATAAAATATTTTTAATTATAAATAACAAAAGAATATCATAAAACAAGCAAATCTTTAAACTTACCACTTGTTCAAACTATGCATCAACAATGCAAGTTTCTCTTCCGCTCGTTGCCATATCTAAATATAAATTGATAAAGTGTGTCATTTAAACTTACAAAGTAAACTAATTTTCACTAAAACACTCGTATAACGCAAAATCTTACCAAGTTGAATTTGCTCAAGAAACTCCAAATCTTCTTCAACATTAATAGGAGTACCCTCACATAACGCAACATTCATTTCTTTTAAAGTGAAGCTTTTAATGCCATCCATTTTTATAGAGAGCCTTGAGGCTGGAATTAACATATTAAACTTTATAAGCTTCGTCAGTTTTGCAGAAAAGAGTCGAAAGAAACATATTCGTATAAAGTAAAGGTAAAGCTTATCAAATGAGAGAACTTACATAAACGTTTCCTAGATGATAAGATGCTTTGGTATTTGGCATGTTGTCTTTTGATTAACACAGCGATAATTGTTGAAACAAATGCAGCAAAAACACCTGCTACAATTGCAGCTATCAAAGCACCTTTGCTTTTATGTTTAGCTTGAATATCAGGATTCACTGTAACAACACACGGATCCATATGATTTAACTCAATCGAGGAATCATTTAAAGTTGGACTAGAGATACATTGAAGCTACAAAAACTTACAATACGAATAAGGTCACAGCAGAGTGAAGTTAAGAAGCTCGCAGTCGCAGCAGTCGGTGACGACGAGTCGCAGCAGTCGCATAGAAAGAAGGAAGAACCGAAGAACCCTAAATCTAATTCTTTATTTAGGTTTGGGAAATGTGAATTGGGAAGTGACTAAGTGTATTAGACTATTAGTGATTTAGTGGGTTTGGGTATTAGACAGACTATCAGTAAGTTTGGGTTTGGGCAAACTAAATTAGGCTTCAAAGTTCAAATAGGTATTGAGCTTCAGCCTAAAATGGGTAATAACTAATACCCAAAATTTTGATTTTTCAGTTAAACCGAAAAACGAAACACCAAAACCGTAAACCGCACCGAAAAACCAATTAAACCGAAACCGAAAAATCAAAATTCACGGTTCGGCCAGTTTTTTCGGTTCGGCCGGTATTATGCCCACCC